GGGGGGAAAGGAGACATGTAATACTTTCAACAATAAAGAATTTTAAAAAGGAATAAATAAAATAAATAAAACCAAAATGAGATATCACTACACACCTATTAGAATGGCTAAATAAATAAATAAATAAATAACATTCTGGGTTTTTACATTGTTCATGTTTGTCAGCTTTTAAAAATAAGTGATTGCCGAAACCGGTTTGGCTCAGTGAATAGAGCATCAGCCTGTGAACTGAAAGGTCCGGGGTTCAATTCCGGTCAAGGGCATGTACCTTGGTTGCGGGCACATCCCCAGTGTGGGGTGTGCAGGAGGCAGCTGATCCATGTTTCTAATTCTCTATCCCTCTCTCTTCCTCTCTGTAAAAAATCAAATAAAAATCAGTGATTTATTACTTTTATCTTTCTAAATAAAACTCACTTTTGTACCCAGTTTTTAATTCATATTTTGTATTCTTTTTCTTTTTAAGAACCCCATAAAATCGGGTTTCAGCCCAACCCCCTTCCCTCACAGGGCAGCTTCAGATTTCTAAAGGGGGACAGCGTGGGAAAGGATTTCAGGAGTGAAGGGGAAGGTGCCTCCAGGGGGCTGGAGGCCGGTGGGCCAGCGGAGTATGGGAAGGAGAAAGGAGAAAACTGGGACCAGGAGGAGTGAGATGCGACTCCGGGACGACTGCGGAGCGGTGTGGGCTTAGGCACTCGGCGAGGCTGAGCCCCAGAGACAGAAGTCGGTGCAGAGAACAATGGGAAACGTCTGCCCCACCGCCAACGCTGGGGCGCTGGGACCAGCCAGCTACACGCCGGCCGGGGCCTCGGGAAGTTGGGGGCCGCTGGGGAGCCAGCCCTGCGGGGAGCGGGGCGTCGCCGCCGGGGATTGCAGGCGCAGGGCCGGCGCCCCAACGTCCTCGGGATTTCTCGCGGGGCGGCCCCCCGGTCCTGCCGCGCGGGGGAGGCGAGGCTGAGAACCTGTCCGCCGAGCTCGGCCGGGAGACGCGCCAAGGCCGCGAGCTGGGAACCCGCGGCGCCAAGTAGGTCTGGGTGCACGACGGGGCGGGGCCTGGGCGGGCGGGGGCGGGGCCTGGGCGGGGAGGGAGGGGCGGGGCCTGGGTGGGCGGGGCGGGGTCAGTCAGGGGGCGGGGCCACAAGGGCGTCCGGGTTAGATCCAAAGGGGAGTTGATGCCTGTTGCTCCGTGGCTCTGGCCCCAGATTGTCTCGGGCCGCTGGAGGGCGGGGAGCCGCTGGTTTGGGGAGGGCGAGCTGGGGAGCAAGGTCGGGCGGCCTGCGGGGCTGTCAGGTTGGTGGGGGGACAGTCGGAGGAGCCGTAATCCGGCTGCTCCGCGTGGTTTGCTGCCTGGTGACCTGGCCGACCCGAAAGCAGGGACCGGCAGACACCCCGGGAGCTGAAGAGAGAAGCGAGTCCGGCGAGGAAGGAAGGAGGACAGACAGAGAGAAGCTTTCAAGGGTGGGCAGACCAGGCTGAAGGGCCTGGGAAGGAGCGGGCTGGAGGGCCTGTGCGGCTAGAAGGAGATGGCAGAGGGCCAGTGAGCAGGCTGGAGGGAAAGGGGGGATCTCGTCGCCTGTTGCTTGTGGTCATGATTGCAACCCGCCTCAGCTCACCAGTGATAATGGCCTCAGCGATATTGACCCAGAGCCATAGAAGGGCCAGTGCAGAGGGGTCAGTGCTCTGTCCTATCTGCATTCTCACTGAATCCCCGTATATGGAGGCCACAAACATGAGGAGCAGGACTGGGGGGATGGAGAGAACACATACAGAGAGAGAGAGAGAGAGAGAGAGAGAGAGAGAGAGAGAGAGAGAGAGAGAGAGAGACTACCAATGGGGTCTGGCTTCCCCACCCAGTCCTCCCAGGCACCTCTCCCAGCCAGAGACACACTGTGCCTCCCTGGAGCCTATGAAAATATGACTCTCATCCACCTCCCCAGCACAATAGAATGTGAAGGCATGGAGTGATGGCAGCTTCAGGACCCCCCCCCCCCCCCAACGAACCTCTCTACCACCTGGAACGTTTGTCCTGACCCCTGTCACTCCCACCACCATGCCTGGAACACCAGACAGGGCAGCACTGGGAGGCTTCTCCCGTGAACCCTCCTCCCACACCTACGAGGAAGCTGCAGAAGGTGCTCAGAGGGGCGGGAAGGGTGAGGAGCGCCACAGGATGGAGAGGCTGTGGGACTGGCAGGAGTGCAGCTGTGTGACAGAGAGGTGGATCCCCATGGAGGTGTGCAGGGGGTGGAGGGAGAGAATTCACGGCTCGCCAAGTTACCTTCAGCCACGGTGCCACCTGTACCACCCCATCATCCCCCCTCTGTCTTCTTTACCCCAGCCCCAGCCCTCCTCCACCCACCTTCTCCACACTCATGGTGGTCTCGCTGCCCCACATCCACCCCGCTCCCACATAGCTGTCCTTCGTGCCCCTCGTCCTCTCCGACAGGCCTGCCGAATGCACACCCCTCCCAAGCTGCACACACTCACTTGTCACCCCAAAATGGAAAGGGGCTCTGAGATAGCAGAAACAGACCCTTTTCCTTCCTCTTTTCTGGAATGTGTGGTGGTATTTTATGTGCCCTTACATCCCCAAAACAACTCTTACCTGGTCTTTGTCCTCCACTAGTCATTACCCCATTTCTAGGCCACCTGAAGTGGGGTACGGGGGCCTCCTCAGCGGCAGGCTCAGGGAGGGGTTGGGGAGCTAGACAGTGCCATACATGGGTCATATGTGTAGCTTTGTGTGAGCCTCCTATGTCTGTCTGTCTCTGTGTGAGCCTCCTATGTCTGTCTGTCTTCCTCGGAATATCTCTGAGAGAGAGGGAGTTTGGTGGAAAGAGGCTCACCAACCAGGAAACTTAGGGAGGAAATGCACCTCCCCACGACCACCACCTTCCTATCCCGGACTTCAATCCCTTTGACGCCTTCCCAGGGCTGCTTCCTTCTTGTCATTTGTGTCTCAGCTCAAATGTCACCTCCACAATCTTCCCCAAAGCGTGTCTCCCCCCACACCCCCCACACACACATACACACGGAGTATTCTATATCACAGCCCTTGCTGTATTTTCTCCATAGCTGCCACCTGCCTTTATCTTGCTCATTAAATTGTTCACAATTGGGACTTGTTCTTCCCACCTGGCCCCTAAGCCAGAATGGAGGCTCCTTGAGGACAGGGCCCTTGTGTTCTTCATCTCTGTGTCCCCGGACCTTAGAACAGTGGCTGGCACAGTGGAGGCACTCGGGAAACAGGTGAATTAAACTGATTGAATTAAACCCAGGGCTGCTTGGCTGGTCGGGAAAGACCTTTATTGCTGACTGCCCTCTTCCTCCTGCTCCCTGCACCTCCATCCCCCCTGGAGCCCCAGCCATACCTGGCGCTGCCCTATCTTCTCCCCCACTCTGCAGGAGCCCCCACCCCCGCCACCTGCAAACCCACCGCCGCCGCAGCCCTGGGTCCCCGGGCAGGGGTGAGTGGGCCGACACGCTGGAGCCTGTGCCTCGTCTCCAAGCCCAGTTCCCAGCAGAACTGACTGCTCTGGAAGAATCCCTTTCCAGCCAGCCCCACCCACTTACAGAGCCACACTGGGAAACCACGGCTCCCTTAAGCACACAGCCCCCCAGAGAACCTCAATACAGCCCACCAGCATTTATTGAAGGTTTCTCATATGCCAGGCCCTGGGCTCGGCGAATCTCCTAAGTCACAGACATGCCAACGCCAGCGCCTTTCTCCCTCTGCGTCTCTGAGAGTCCCTGCGCCTCCGTGGTCAGCGTAGCGGCTTCTGTCCCGGGCGAGTTTCTGCGCGTGATTGAAGGGAAGGTGCGGAGGTCTCGCTCAGAAAAGGCCCATGCCAGGCCTGGGCCCCACTCGCCGCCGGCCACTGTCTACTCCTCTGTCAGTCCCTCTCCTCCTCGTGGCATCGCACGGGGACAATTTCTCATCCAGAAGCAGATGCCCTCCATTCTCTGCCCACTGCTTGGCCCCACGTCTCTGTGAGAGGACCGGGATGAAGCAGGAAAGCCCAGAAGCTCCTCAGCTGGCCCCTGATCCACAGCTTCCGTGTCCTGGGGTCCGAGGCCAAGGCAGGACACTGATTACAGTTCAGTTGGGGCTTTCCCAGCAAAGATCACAGGCGCCACGCCTTGGGGCGAGGAGAAGGGCTGGTGGGCTTCGGGGGCCATCGCACCCCAGTTACTGGCCATCTTCACAAGCCCCTCGGGTTGCTCCACCAGGCTGCTTGTCTGCTCCAGAGCATCACCCTCCAGTGGTTAGGAAACTCCGGCCCCCAAGAGAGCCAGATCCCAGGGCTCTCGCCCCAGCTCTGGCCTCCGGCTGCCAAGCCACGTCCAGCTCATTCTCCTCTGGCTCTCAGGCTGCGGTCTTTCTCCGAGAGAATAATAGTTAAAACGGGGGCTGAGGGGAGAACGGGGCAGTCAGTCATCTGGGAAGAGGCAAGATCACACACATACCACACTCAGCAGACACACACACACACACACACACACACACACACACACACATGCACACACACATACACACACATATACACATATACACACACATACACACACACACACACACACACACACACACTCTCTCTGAGAAACACACTCTGGATTTTTCTAGAAGAGAAAATGTGGCTTGAGAGGACACAGGAAACACCCTGAGAATGAAATCTAATACTTCTTAGGTTCAAAGGGCAGGGCTGGTTGTTGCTATCGAACCAAAGAGAGTCACTGCTGATCTCTTGGGTCCAGGTGAGCCAGCTCTGCTCCAAGCCTGTCTCCACTGGCAACACACTCAGACCAGCCTCATTCTCCCTCGTTGCCTGGGCTCCAACCGTCCTGTTTTCATTGGCTGCCTTGTCCCGAAGCTTGGTCCCTATTGGTTGCCACTAGAGGTAGTATTTCCACTTGACAGCAAATCCAATAGATAGATGAGCTTTGTCCTCTCTGTGCCACGCTGCCAGCTGTCCTGCCAGCCTGTGCGCCCTCCCCAGCATGCATTAGGATTGGGGGGCACTGGGGGTTGCTGAAGAGGGTCCAACAGCCTCAAGGAGCCTCTGGTGCTGGCGAAGGTGCCTCCTCCTCTCATGTTCCCCTGTGACTTCACACACCAGCTGGGCAGGGAAGGCGCCAGGAAGCCCCTTCAGCCAACCTAGAGAGAGAGAGAGAAAGAGAGAGAGAGAGAGAGAGGGCCCCGGGGGAGCCGGGGAAAGGGGCAGGTCAGGAGGGAAAGGAGGCACCATGGGGTCTAGCGTCTGAGGGTCATGGTGAGCATGGGTAGAAAGGCCACTGGAGGTGGAGGTGACAATATCACCAAAGAGGGTCAGGTCGGGTCACTCCTCTGTCAAGCCCTGCCGTGGCTGCTCATCCCACTCAGAGCGGAAGCCAGAATCCCTGCAGGGATCTCTGAGGACCCACATGATCTGGTCCCTGTGATCTCTCTGACCCCACCTGCTTCTCTCCCTTCTCCTCGCTCCCCTGAGCCACACACGCCTCCTTCCTGTTTGCTAAACACACCACCCACAGTGCCTCCCTCGGACTCCCGGCTCTGACTGGGACATTCTTCCTCTGGATGCCCAGGGCCCAAGTGCCTCAGCTCCATCCGGTCATGGCTGACACACGTGGTGCCTCCTCGTTGAGATCCACCTAACCTCCCAGTTTAAACTGGCCTCTCCTGCCCTCCCTGACTCTGCTGCCCTTTCCTTTTGTCACAGACTCGGCACCTACAGGCGCACTGCATGCCATTTACTTCTTATCTTGTTTATTCTCTCTTGTTTCTCCTCCCCTAGTGCGTGCTCCGCACCCAGGAATATCCGAGAAGAGAGAGCGGCAGCTCCCAGGTGCTTAGTAAGCATTTGCTGAGTGAAGAAATAGAAGAATCTGCCGAAACCAGTTTGGCTCAGTGGATAGAGTGTCAGCCTGCGGACTGAAGGGTCCCAGGTTCGATTCCAGACAAGGGCATGTACCTTGGTTGCAGGCACAACCCTGGTGGGGGGTGTGTAGGAGGCAGCTGGTCAATGTTTCTCTCTCATTGATGTTTCCGGCTCTCTATTCTTCTCCTTTCCTCTCTGTAAAAAATCAATAAAATATATTTTTAAAAATAAAGAAATAGAAGAATCTCTCACCTTCAGGGCTCTTGTGTAGGTTCTTGGGGGCAGCCCTGGACTCCGGACTCTGTCCCTCAGTCTTGACTGGTGTAGAAGGCTCTGAACACGTATCCTGGGAACATTCTGGTGGGGGTGGGGTGACATTACAGCAGGATCAAGGTTATTTAGCTTCTCCCCCGTATTTCCCTTCAGGTTCACTTTTCCCTCCCTCTCCCTCCAGGGGTTACTCACCACAGTCCTCATAGATGGTGTCGGGGGAGCAGGGAAGGGGGCCGGGGGTGGGGAAGGCTCCCAGCCAGCGCTGCATGTCTGATCTGGTGGAACAAGGGAGGGTCCCTGTTGGCCCAGGAGATCCTGCTGGGGGTGAGGCAGGGGCCACAGAGGAGAGAGACTGGGAGGGGGTGGTAGGCGCTGAGAGGTCAGATCAGGGTCCCGTTAGGAGACACAACTCACAGGGAGGAAGCTTGGAGCAGCCGCTGGGTGGGGCGGCCCTGGTGGTTGCTGAGAAGGGAGAGGCGGAACGTGGGGGGTCCAGATGGGTCCGGAACCTGCTGGGCCTGGACCAGGGAGCGATGGGCGTAGTCCAGCACCTGCAGCCGCTGCCCACTGCTCAGGGAAGAGGGCGTTCAGACCGAGAGCATAAGTCCCGCCGGACTCCTCCTCCTCACCCCTGCCTGGGCTCCCACCCTCCCTGGGACCCACCTCTTGGGCTGCGTGATGAGCAGCAGGTCACTAAAGAGCAGCAGGCAGAGGGGGGTGAAGCGGGGGCGCGAGGTGAAGAGCATGCCCCCTCTCCGGCACCCTAGCTCCGTCAGCTCCCCCTGCAACTCCAGGCGCCTCGACCAGGAGACCAGGGGCAGGGCCTGGGAGGAAGCAGGGAGGAGGTTCTGGCTTCTTCGCGGCACACCGCGAGGGGAGGGGGGCGCGGGGAGTCTGGACAGGGGCCTAACCTTGACTTTGTGGAAGCGCAGCCTCTGGGTGAGCCGGATCAGCTCCTCCGTCTGCTTCATGCGCCCCACCTCAGCACTGCAGCGCTCGATGATCTGGGTGAGGGAGTGAGTCACTCACCCCCATTCCCTCCCACCCTTCCTTCTCCCCGACCCCCTCCCCACCTCCCCGGGCCTCCACAGCCCCCGCAGCCCACCTTGCTGATGGCTCCCAGGGCCTTCTGGGCGTTCTCCTGGCGGCTGGACCCCTCCTCTGTCTGGTGGAGGATGTTCTGAAGACAAGGAGGAAGGGTGACTGGGCCCCTGCTCGGCGGCCCTGGGGCTCAGAGGGGCTGCAGCTCCGGGCCCCTTGCCTGGCTTGGCAGGATGCTCGCAGGGCTCATAGGGGGTTGGGGTTCACAGGGCTGAGGAACCAGACTCAACAAAGCTGAGAGACCTCACCCTCACTGTCTGCCTAACCCTGAGCAGGTCACGTTGCCTCTCTGAGCCTCAGTTTCTGCATCTGTAAATTGGGGACAATGCCCACCTAGCCTACCAATGGAGGATGCAGCAACGTAATATATGTAAGATGCTTCACATAGTCCTTGGCGCATACTAAGTGCCGAAAGAAGGTGGCTGTTATTTTAATAATTACCAACCACAACTATCAGTAAAAACAGTAAAGCCTGGAATTAAACTTTGTCTCCACCAGTGATTATCCGGATGACCTGGACAAGTGATTGAACCTCTCCGTACCTCAGTTTCCTCATCTGGAAAGTGGATCAGTCATCGTTTCTACCCTCATACATGGGTAGGTTCTATATTAGAACCATACCAAGAACAGAGCACTCAACGGCTGTTTAGTTGCTATGGTGACGTGTGATTATTTTGCCTGCGTTGGGGTGTATGAAGCTGAGGAAGACCCAGTAAACTGGGGAAATATGAAAATGCTGCTCATCTGGTTGGGAACGCTTCTCATTGGCATCCCCACACTGAGGGACCCGGTTTAGGGAGAAGTTTCTAATCTGCCATAGAGTTTCTCAACCTTTTTAAAAATATATTTTTGCTGAAACCAGCTTGGCTCAGTGGATAGAGCATCGGCCTGCGAACTGAAGGGTCCCAGGTTTTATTCCGGTCAAGGGCATGTACCTTGGTTGTGGGCACATCCCCAGTAGCGGGTGTGCAGGAGACAGTTGATCGATGTTTCTCTCTCATCGATGTTTCTAACTATCTCTCTCTCTTCTTCTCTGTAAAAAATCAGTAAAATATATTAAAAAAAAAAAAATATATATATATATATATATATATGTATATATTATTGATTTCAGAGAGGAAGGAAGAGGGAGAGATAGAAACATCAATGGTGAGAGAGAATCATTGATTGGCCAACTCATGCTGGAGATTGAGCCCACACCCTGGGCATGTGCTCTTGTTCCGAATCATACCTGGGACCCTTCAGTCCACAGGCCGATGCTCTATCCATTGAACCAAACCAGCTAGGGCTCAACCTGTTATTTTTTAACTCAGCATCACCCCCCTAAGGAGCCTTTGTAGAAATGTAATACCACAGATATGCTGTACATCTTTCATGCACCGGGGCCCTTTGAAGTACCACAACCATTGGAATGTTTAAGATTTTTTTACCTCCCAAAGAATGAACTTTGCCTCCTTGCACGTGATACCACCCCCACTGGGAGGTATGCAGTGAGAGGCACCGCCGAGGTGACCACCATGTTCCCTCCGAGACCCAGAGAGAGAAAGGGACTTGCCCAAGATCAGCCAGCCAGCTGGTGGCAGAGCAAGCCGAGAACTCCTGCCTCCAGCCAGAGGCCCATTTCCTGCCCCCAGCACGCTCCCTGAGACATTGGAGTAGCTCGAGGCAGAGTCTGGTGGGCCCTGGACTGCGAGGCCCCGACGGGGTCTGATTTAGGGAAGCCTGTGTTCGTGGTGGGGTGGGGGTGGCGATGGCGGGGCAGGAGGCCCCGGGAGTTGGTGGGCAGGAGAGGCCCGGGCCCCGGTACCTGCAGCAGCATGCGGAGCCGCGTGATGCGCTGGAAGGGCAGCAGCAGGAAGGACGGCAGCGGGAGCCGCTCACACTTGGGGAGGCTCTGCAGCCGGCGCAGCTCCGCCGAGAAGCGCACGTTGGTGTCCCTGCAGGAGCAGCCAGGCCGCTGGAGTGGGCCTGGAGGCCCCGGTCCCCCAGCCTGCCCTGGCCCGCACGCCCCTGCACCCTAGCCTTCCCCCACAGCTGGGGCCGGGCCCCTGCCCTGCAGCTCACATTAGGCGGCTGTAGGTCTCCTCCTGGTACTGCTGGTTGCGCACATAATCCACGTACACGGAGAAGGGGCCCACGGCGTGGACATGCACCACGTCGCAGAGGTCGTTGATGTGGGGGGACGAGCGTACACGGGACAGTAACGCCTCGAGGAACCTGAGGGGTGGGGAGCAGTCAGTCACGGGGGGTGGGAGGGAGGGGGGCAGAGAGCCAGGGGCCCTGGGACAGGCTGGAAGGGAAGAGGCGCTCCATTCGCCCAGAGGGCAGGACCCCACTGACCACTCGCTGACTTCCTGGACCCTCTGCACGTTGGAGAAGAGGGTGTGGTGGTCCCGGGGGGTGAGCGTGTCCCGGAGGGCCTGGCTCCGCACAAAGGTGTCGGTCAGCAGCTGCAGGGAGCGCAGGTAGGAGGCCTCGGAGGTCACCACCTCAAACAGGCTCTGCAGAGGGAGGGCAGGGGGGACGTGGAACCGGTGCCCGGTCAGCCCAGGGCCCAGCCGCGCTCCCGCCTGCCCCGGGCCAGCCCCCTCCCCCCCATACGCCACCTCCTGCAGGCGCCGCTCCTGGGGGCTGAGCGTGTCCAGGAGGCCGCTGGCCCGCACGGCTGGCAGCTCCTGCCACAGCGTGTTCCGAGGGCCAGGGAGCCGGGCGAAGGCGGGGGCTTCTCCAGAGCTCACTGAAGAGAGGCTCCCCTCCGTACTGACCCCCCACAGCTCCTCCGACAGCACGGCCGCGCGGTAGGTCTGGTACAGGGGTTCTGGAGAGCAGACGGCACGTGAGGGAAGTCCAGGGCCCCGGAGCCCTTCTCCCGGCCTGCTGGCCACAGCGGGGACCCCCAGGCCCAGAGGCCTCACCATCCTGCAGCGGCACCTCCCAGTTCTGCTCCTTCAGCTCCTTCAGGCCCTCATCCCTGCGGAGAGAAAAAGGGACGGTGTTTGCCCAGAGCCAACCCTGCCGCACACCTCCAGGGGCGCCATTCACGTGACAGTGTCAGGTTGAGTGCGGGAGGCCCTGGTGGCTCCCCAGACCAAACCCCAGGTATATATATTTTTTAAATATATTTTATTGATTTTTTTTACAGAGAGGAAGAGAGAGGGATAGAGAGCTAGAAACATCGATGAGAATCATAGATCAGCTGCCTCTTGCACACCCCCTCCTGGGAATGTGCCCACAACTAAGATACATACCCTTGACCGGAATCAAACCTGGGACCTTTCAGTCCGCAGGCCGATGCTCTATCCACTGAGCAAAACCGGCTTTGGCACCCCAGGTATTTTTATGTGCCTGTCGTATGGGAGGCCCTGACTCAGCGGGCTCCATCTACTCCCGTTGTCCCAATACTGTGTACCAGAGACGTCCAAGTCTTTATCTTCCCAGCCCTCTCCCATAGCAATAGCCATCTGAAATGTCCTCTGTGTCTCAGGGAGACTCAGCCTGGGAAACCCAAACTCACTCCTTCCCTTTCCCCACAGCCCTGTCCCTCCTGTTCTGGTTACCACACACCCATGCTCCCAAGCTAAAACCCCAGGAGAACAAACACCAGTAAATGCTTGTGGAATAAATCAATGGGCTCAGGTGAGCTCTGAGGGTGGTGGGGAATCTAAGATCATTAACAAGCCCAGACAGGTGTCCTGAAGTGTCCATAGTTTAAGGTGACAACAGTCCCGATTTTTAACAATTTGTCTCGGGGGATTTTTTGAAAAAATTGGGACTTTTTTAAAGCACCGCAGGACGCGGGACAAATTGTTAAAAATCGGGATGTCTGGTCACCTTACCGTAGTTGCCAAATAGACTTGCAGACAATAATTACAATAGAGGCTTAAGGTGGGGGAAGTACAATAGAACACTTACTAGGGACCGGTTCTTCACCAATGTTATAGTCTATGATGTGGTTGGTATGCTTACTCCCATTTCACAGATGAGGAGACCGAGGCCCGGAAAGGTTAAGTGACTTACAGAAGGTCACAGAGCTGACAGGGGACAGCGCTGGGATTGGAAACCAGGGCTGCTGGTCTCTAGAGCCCCGGGACATCTTCATGGAGGTGGGCCTTAGCAGGACGGCAGAGAGTCTGCCCTCAGGTAGGAGTAAGGCGGGGAGGGTTGTGGGTACCTGCCCTCCACGGTTGCTGGAGCATCGTTCTGAGGGGCTTCATCTGGACTGATCCCTGGAGAGAAGAGAATAATAAATCCCCAGAATCCCCATCGGACTCCTGCCTCCTGTCCCACCAGAGACTGTTACCATAAAAACTACAACTCCCAGCAGCCCTAGAGCTGCAGGTGGTAGAGAAACAAGCTCAGGGCCTACTGGGGGTTGTAGTTTGTTCATCTGTAGACCTCCACCTCTCCATCCCTCCCCCTTCCAGCCAGAGGACCCACTCTCCCAGGCCCCGTACCTGTTTGGCTTCCATCTTCAGAGGGCACATGGAGATCAGGCTGAGGGGGGTCCACAGAGATGGTGGGGTCCTGCCTGACCCGGGTTGGTTTGGGGGGTTTGAGAGGTGGCAGGAGTTTGCGCTCGGCAGTGGAGCGGTAGGACGTGAGGACCACTGAGGGGAGACTGTTGCTGGGAGGGCTGGGGCGGGAGCGGGAGGCCCGCAGTGGGGAGGCTCGGCAGACGGCCTTGGGACCGTCCTCATGGCCCCCCACAGGGACCCACCGGAGCTCCAGGCCCGGCCGGGCCACGTGGCAGACACAGGGGCAGCAGGGAGGGCAGGCCTGGGCAGCATCTGTGGGAGACGAGGTGTGCTAAGGAAAAGGCCCTTGGCCCCTCGCTGCCCAGGGTCCTTCCCCTTAGCCTGCCCGGCAGCTGAAACATGGCCCAGCCCCATCACCTACTCTTCAACCCCGACTCCCTTCAGACTCCCAGAAACACAGAAATCTAAAAGGTAGCCGGGACTGGTTTGGCTCAATGGATAGAGCATAGGCTTGGGGACTGAAGGGCCCCAGGTTCGATTCCGGTCAAGGGCATGTACCTTGGTTGTGGGCATATCCCCAGTAGGGGGTGTGCAAGAGGCAGCTGATCGATCTCTCATGGATGTTTCTAACTCTATCTCTCTCCCTTCCTCTCTGTATAAAATCAATAAAATATATTTAAAAAAAAAAAAAAGAAATCTAAAAGGTAGCCCCTGAAAGGACCCAGCCTTAAACCACTGAAAACAAAACAATATGAGCTGGATGGAGCCCACCCTCGCCCCAGGAAATGCTTACCGGGCGCGCCGTTCTCCTGGGATCCCCTTCTCCGGAGGCTGCCCCGCGGGGTCTCTCTCTCCCCATTCACATCCGCGCCCCCCTGGGGCGCTGGCTCCGCGGGGTGTGCCGCCTGGACCCGGTCCTCGGCCCCCCATTCAAACTTGCCAGCCAGTCTCCGCACCGTGCCCGGGGCCGAGGCAGGGCCGTCCTGGGCGTGGCCCCGGGGGGCCGCGTGGGGCGGGGGCAGAGGCGCGCGGGGTGACCCGGACGGTTTGGGTGGAGGGACTGGAGACCTGGGTGCAGGCTCCGGGGAGATGGAGCGCCGGGACGCCGGGCTGGGGGTGCTGGGAGGGGAGTCTGGGGAGGCCTGGGAGTCCAGGCTGGTTTTGGAGACTGAAGGGGGCAGAAGGGCAGGGGGCTTGAGGGAAGAGGCGGGGGGTTCCCAGAAGATGGGGGAGCACATTGGGGTTGGTGCATCATTGGAGGTGCCGGAAGGTTCTTGAGGAGAAGAGCCGTTGTGGGGGGGCCCGGGGGACTGGGCAGCCCGAGGTCGAGACGGGGGGCGCGGGCGGATGATCCGAGGGGGCTTCTGGGTAGGGGGTGTCGCTACAGGAAGAGACGGGTCTGACATCTTCCTTTGAGCTTTTCAAAGGAGTGGGGGGCTCTGCTGGAGTCATCCCCTGAGGAAGAGGGAGGGAGAAGAGAGAGAAAGAGACCCTCATTGGCACCCCCTGGCCTGCCCTGGGTAGACAAAGCCACTAAGCAGAACTTGGTTTGCCAGCAAATCAGCCAAGATTTTGGAGTCAGGAGGGAAGGCTGCTGTACTTCCTTGCCTTCTCATTTCCAGGCTTCTCTCCTCACCTCTCACCCCTCTCGCTCCCGAGGCCCCTCCCCGGCAGACTTCCTTGGCCCTCCCGGCCTCCCTTTCCCTCTGGCCTTGAGCTTCTGCAGCCTCGGCCTGGATGGAGGAGACAGTGAGGCTAGGGTGGGGGTGTCCCAGGAGAGACCCAAGGCAGGGCGAGGGGGTCCAGGAGAAGGGGATGGGGAAGGGGAATTTAGCTGGCCAGTGTAGCCACAACGCATCTGCTTGATGGATTGTGTGTGTGTCCACAGAGTGAGTGTGTGAAGGTGTGTGAGTGTAGTGTGTGTGTGTGTGTGTATGTGTGCTGTTGCCAGTGCTGTAGGAAAGGCATGTTGTGTGGCGTGTCTCGGGAGAGTACTTGCTATGTGCTTACCCGGTGGTGTGGGTGGGAGAGCCGGATGCGTGTGCGGGGTGTGGGGGGGAGTGGGGTGCCAGGTGAAGGCGCCCTGTGCTCTCTGCGTGGGGATGTGCGCGGTGTGAGCGTCTGCGCACACGCACGCTCATGCTGGCGGTGGGGACGCATCACTATTTCCCTGCTTCACTGGCCCTCCGCCCCCCATTTCCCAGTTCCTCTCTCCGGACTCTCCCTTTCCGGATTATTTTTAGTCTCCTTTTCCTGCCGTAAAGATTCCTGGAGCCTCTGACCCCAAGAGACCAGGAGGCCCCGGACATGGTCTCTCCTGCCCCATCCTCCTGCCCCATCCCGCCATCGGGGCGCAGAGAAAGAGGCCCCGTGGGAGCCTGGGTCCCGCCGGGACCCCGGAGGGTGGTGAGGAGACCAGCGTGAAGGCAAGAGCGTGGGGTCCTGAGCTCCACTTCCTCCCTCCGGGAAGGAGGCTGATCCTGAGAGGGCTGCAGGGTCAGGGCTGGGAGACGGGGGTGACCCCCAACTCCCATCAGAAGTCAGCTAGAGAGTGAGACCCCACCCCAGGCTCCAGGTCGGGTTCTTGAGAAACGAGGCAGGGTGGGGGCCTGGGCTGTGGACTGTGAGCCTTGCAGCTCCTCGGCCTCTGTATCCTGGCAGGAAGCCCGGATCATAATGACCTGGGCAGTGGCCTGGCTGGCCTGCCAGCTCCTCCCCGGCTTTGCCCCCCTCGGGGGATCCCGCCCCTTCTCAGGTACCTTCCTTGACGGTTTACTTCCTTTCCCACCCCCCACACAGCCTCTCTCAGGGAGCCAGGTATTGGGCCGAGCACTTACCCTGGAGTCCTCTCCACTCTCAGTCACCTCCTGGGGCTGAGTGAGTAGGAGCAGGAAACAGGAATCAAATCCTCCTCCCACCGGACACCCCCCCAAACCACACCGCTCTCCACATGCGCACACCAGGGCTCTGGAAGGCCTGATGGACCCGTGTCCTGGGGTTCTGAGGCGGACAGGGTCTGGGGAAAGGCTGACACCGGGGTGCGGACAGCAGGCTACTCTGTGTGTGTGCACGCGCGTCCCGTCGGCGTGGCTGTGCAGATGGGGGCTCCCGGGCTGGAGGTGAACAGGGGTGGGTGAGGACGGGTGGAAATGGCACAGGGCTGGGCTGTCACCTCTGGCTCAGCTGAGGGATGGTGCATGCGCTCCTCACCGCATGTCTGCCACCTCTCCCACACCCCGCCCGCCCGCCCGGGTGCCTGTCACCTTAGCTGCCAGCCTGCTCCCCGGGGTGAGCCGGCCCAGTTTCACACCGAGGGGCCCCTCCCCCAGTTCCCTAACCCCCCCTAGCTCTGCAACGGCTCCCCCTGAATTTACCTTTATCTTTTTGGAAGTGGTTTCTATTTTCAGCCTGTCCTGCCTGCCCCTTGGAGCAAGGAGTGTGGGGCCAGGTCTCCGAGTGCCTGTTCCTGTGTTTCTGGGGCGGGAACTGAGGGCCCAGATTGGGATCTCAGCAGAGGAAGCCAGTTCCTCAGCCCCACCCGGCCATTGTGTCAGGCGTGAGTGTGTGAGTGTGTGTGTGTGTGTGTGTGTGTGTGTGTGTGTGTGGAGAAGGGAGAGGGGCGAGGGGGGTGGTGGGGAGGAAGACCTGAGATCTGTCTCTCTCCGGAGGATATGACTTTGCTGGCCCCCTGCCGGCTCCCCATTCCCAATCACCGCCTCTCTGGTCCCCTGGGAGGCTTCGATTGGCTGGCAGTGGGCACACCTGGGGGCAGTGGGGGTGGGAAGAGGAGGGTCTCTCTCACCTCTAATTTGCTCTGTGATTGAGCAGCCCAGTTCCACGGCTGGGGGTGTGCCCTAAAAACAACTTAGGGCCTGGAATGAGCCACACCCCAGGCTGAGAAGTAGGGTAATGGGAGGAAGATTTTAAGGGCAGTTATGAACGGCCCGTGCCTTTGCCCACACCCAGGTGCCTGCCTTTGCCAGACCTTCTCACATGTATACACACACTAAACAAGACCCTGGGAAGAAAAGCCAGAAAGCTGGAAAAAACATGTTTTAACCCCTTTTTCTTCAGAGTAAAAGCCAAAGTCCTTACAATGATCAACAAGTCCCTGGATATTTTCCCTCTTGCCTAACCTCTCCTCTCAAGCACACTGCTGCCTCAGGGACCTTGCACTGCCTGTGTCTTCTGCATGGAATCCTTCTTCCCAAGACATCCACATGGGTGAGTCAGTCCTCACCTCTTTTAAGGATTTGCTCCAAGATCACTTTTCTTTTTTCTTTTCTTTTTTTTTTTTAATATATTTTATTGATTTTGTACAGAGAGGAAGGGAGAGATAGAGAGTTAGAAACATCAATGAGAGAGAGTCATCGATCAGCTGCCTCTTGCACACCCCCTACTGGGGATATGCCTGCAACCAAGGTACATGCCCTTGACCAGAATCGAACCCGGGACCTTTCAGTCCCCAAGCCTACGCTCTATCCATTGAGCCAAACCGGTTTCAGCTCCAAGATCACTTTCTTAATGAGGCCTGCTGCACCATTCTTTACAGTTTCGGCCCACAACCTCACACCACATTTTGGACCTCCCTCCCTCCACATAGCATCATTCATTAGAACATACCATATAGTTTAGTATTAAATTGTCACATATATAGTTAATTGCCTTTTACATTAGAAATTGAGCTTCCTAGAGGTAGGATCTGTATCTGTTTTATTCACTAATATACCTCAAAATTCTGGAACAGTTCTATCTCTCCCTCTCCCTTACTCTCTGAAATCAATAAAAATATTTTTTTTAGCCAAAACCGGTTTGGCTCAGTAGATAGAGCGTTGGCCTGCGGACTGAAGGGTCCCAGGTTCGATTCCAGTCAAGGGCATGTATCTTGGCTGCGGGCATATCCCCAAAACGGGGTGTGCAAGAGGCAGCTGATCGATGATATTGCTTAATATTTGATGAATTGATATTGCTTAATATTTGATGAATTGAACCAAATTGAACCCCACAGTCTGCTACTCCCCTGACTCCCCTTTCGTACAGACCATTTCCATAATTCTACTAATTCCACCAGTTTCCCATCACACACCCACACACACACACACACTCCAGGACCAGGCACCTAACCTTCCAGCCCTTATGTCTAGATCCTTTCGGGTTTCCTGGGAAAGTAAATCTCTCTCCAAAAGCGCCTCAGAGACCCTATCAAGAAAGCTAGATACACATGTGTAACCAAACAAATCCTGTTTTGTATTGTTTTTACTGAAATGGAAATACCTTTATTAGTTTTGCTACTTACAGAAATACCATTGAAAAAGATAACTGACCCAACGGGCATGGCTCAGTGATTGAGTGTTGACCTATGAACCAGGAGGTCATAGTTGGTCAGGGCACATACCCAGGTTGCAGGCTCCACCCCCGGTGAGGCGTGCATGAGGCAACCAATCAATGAGTCTCTCTCATCATTGATTTTCTATCTCTCCCTCTTCCTTACTCTCTGAAATCAATAAAAATATTTTTTTTTAGCCAAAACCGGTTTGGCTCAGTGGATAGAGCGTCGGCCTGCGGACTGAAGGGTCCCAGGTTCGATTCCGGTCAAGGGCATGTACCTTGGCTGCGGGCATATCCCCAAAAGGGGGTGTGCAAGAGGCAGCTGATCGATGATTCTCTCTCATCAATATTTCTGACTCTATCCCTCTCTTTCTCTCTGTAAAAATTAATAAAAATGTATTTTTAAAAATATATTAAAAAAAAAAAAGATAAAACACACACACACACAAAAGATAACTAACCAAAAGTTATCAGCACGAACATAAGTGGCACTCGGCCCCACATGAAGCAGCCCAGGTTTGAGCGGGGATGTGTGCAGAAGCGGAATTGGATGGGTTGGGCTGCCCAGGACCTTTACCTGCCCTCCCTGGCGGGTCTGAGCTCATTTAATTTTTCTTCTTTCCCCAGACAGACCCACCTGGTGGCTTTTTACCTGTCAGGGCAGCATGCTTTGAGGAACAGAAGCTCCTTGGAGCTACCCTGAGAACATTCTAACATGCCTGGCAAAACGTTTCCATTGGGCCCATGGCTCAAAGCAACTGCAAAGATGAAAAAACCATGACTTTTCAAATCCATACAAACCACCGTCTATTTATGTACACCCTGTCCAATCCCAAAACAAAACCGAGCTCTGCAGACAGCACTGGGCTGTCACTGCTGCTGCTGCCACCGCAGCATGCCAGCCCCTCGGAGACCTGAGGGTCAGAGAAGGCTGATGCTCGTGGGCCAGTGGCCATCAAGGTCATTTCTCTTCTGGGAGGAGCCTGGCTTAGGTCAACCTGCAGACCGTTGGGGTGAAGCAGGAGCGTGGTCAGCAGCCCTCTCGTTAGAGCTGCAGGAGAAGCCATCAAGAAGCTCT